GGCTCGACGAGCTTGCTCGCTTTCACAAGAGTTCACAGGTTTCATCACAGTGAGACTTGTGAACTGGAGCTCTTGAAGCAGCAAAAATGCAAAATGCCCCCCCCCCATCGCCGAACTGCGCCGGTTTGATGTGCTGGGAAAAAGTTTTGAAGCTCTTCGACTTGCATGACGGCGGATTCCGAATTCGAGTTCTATTCGCTGGGCAAGCTTTTCTACGGTCCGGTAGGCCAGAACTTTGCTCAGTACGAAACGCTCCTGGATGTTATGTACCAGACTACCTTCGTGTGAAACCCAACGGTGTCAGGGTGTTCGTGATGAGTTACAAACTTCGCCATTTCTCAAAACTGGGCTATATTGAAGCGCTCAGCTCAAAGAATAGCGCAGTGCACAAAAAATAGCGGGAATAGAATCCCTGGAAATCGGCGAAGTATCGCAATTTGTTTGCGCCCACAATGATGTTTGGTAGCTTGACTCCAATCTGGCCCCAAACTACAAGGTGAGCGCTTAGTAAATTGAATTATACGTTCAGCGAAAAGTCATCAGAGATCACTAATTACTGGGAACCCTAGGACATGCGACAATCGTGCGCAGTCTGCACGTGCTCTTGTTAATCGGCACGTGAACAATCATATACACTTTGAGGTGCAGTGTAACAAGCGAGAAAGGCTATGCGTTCACGAAATGAGAACAAGGAGAGCAAAGAAGTGGCCAGGCGCCAGGTTTTCTTCGTCTTGTCAAATGACCGCCGCCATCGGGCAGCGATTCGCTGCGCGCGATCCGGCAGGAAATTCACACTTTGGACTGGTCCATTAAGTCAACAATAACGCTCGCACTCTCCGTGTACTTGGCGAATATTTCGCCTTTCGGTTCCTGAAACGTTCTTGAGGGTGCAAGCCCACTAGGAGGGGGGGGGCATTTGAAACAATTCTTCAGCGTAATTGGGATTGGCATAGCGTAGGTGAGAGTGTTTGCTCGAGCTCAATGGGGAAGCAGCTCCGTATACATGAGCCACTTTCTTAGCTGAAATGGTATAGCGGTTTCCGTTTTGCACGAGGAGGGCTTCAAATGCCACCCCCTGACGGACTTGACCCTTCTGGTGACGCTTCAAAAGCCTGTAACATTCGAGGTCATCATGAAATGCTCGTGCGTTCAATTCTCCCGAATTGGATACTGTAAATTACTGGCTCCCAAAACTAGAGCCTAGAGCTTTTTTGGGCCCCTTTTACCTTCTGAATTCACCCCCACGATTCTGCGGAGGATACAATGCGGCATTCGGATAGAGCTTGTCTGTTCCTGCTACGTCCTTCAAGCGATTTGCCACTCTTGGGCGAGGGTAAGGCAGAGGCACCATTACGCTTCTGCAATCCTTAGATCAGGTCACAACAAACCGTCAAGCTTCTGCCCCTCCAAAGTTGATCAAATGTAACAGAACTTCCGTAAGAGGGCAGAATCTCTGCTTGACTTTGATGCCCCCATCACTCCTCCTCCCCAGTGTACATTATGGTTACAGAATCTGCATCGGGATATTCATCAGAATCTGCATCAGCGATATTAAGTCGCTAAAGAGAGGGGTCGTATTCGGCTCTTTGAATTTTTTTCCATTGTTGTTTTTTTCTGATTTTCCCCGTTACAGGCGCGCTATAAGTACACCTAGTGATCGCTTCTCCGATTATACCGGTCATATTGGGGTCTCGTAGTTGATGAGATTAGCTGTTTTTTAGCCTTGCACCCACCCCCTTTCTGGGGGAAGCAGCATCGAAGTCCTTGTTATGGGAGGGGATCTTGTTGACATGATGTATTCGGATACCCATTATGATCCGTGGTCCAGAAACCTATCCGGATGTGTTCACAGTTTCAACCAGAACTCAAGTGCGTGGCGCATTTCAAGGCCACTGTTCAGTTCCATATATTGCCCTTGAGAAGCCTGGCCGGTCTCCGAGACTTAGCGAGCAAGCCATCAAGTCACTGACTCGACCAGCGCCGTCGG